CTGGATCCGCCTATGGGCACACCACTACTGAAGATACTGAACAGCACATTTCCTCACATTCTGAACAGCGCACATGCAAAAACATACTTTGCTCCTGCTCGACCACCTTCGTACAAGAATCCATCGCCGTCGTCATCCAGGCGTCGCTTTCGAAATCGTGATGAGCCCACATCTCGCCAAGCTTCCGCATTAAAACGCGATATTGATTGCTCGCAAGCCTGTTATACAGAACCAATAAAATATACTGATAAGTTACGAGGCGTTAAAAAAGAAAAAAAACGAGATATGTTCAAAAACCTTTGGATTTTTGCAGTAATCGCAACTGTTTCCACATGGCCGTAAATCATCATCACCAAAGAAACGACCAAAAGCTACGTGTCGACATCTGAAACGTATTACTGGATAGCGTATCTAAAAATCATGGAGTTGAAGAACGCATCAAAATTATTAAATTTCAAAGATAGTGGTACTATTTCATGATTTGTTTTTATGCCAAACCCAACAATCTGCGGAGGGCCACATCTATGAAATTTCTCATCATAACCTTTTTTTTGCAAAAAGCAGTAGCAAATCCATACAAACAAAGTTGAAAGAAAAAAAAGTACTCTATCAAAAATCTTAGAATTTCTTCAAATTCAACTTCTAAGCAATTCAGACATCGCCTAACACGCGAGTAACAATTCATACTACAGGATAATTCTTTGAAGGCTTAGAACAAACAGCGGAAGTTTAATCACTCAGTAAAATTAAACCCTATAACAAGAAAACAGAATAAATGGCATTCATCTATCGCAAGTTTCGTACTTGAATTACGAAAAAAAGTAGGACGCACTGGGCTTTTTCGCAAAATTCGATCATTTTTTCGAAACCATGCTGGACGGCTTTCACTTGCTCATCAGTCGTCTTTTTTTCTCGATTTTTAGCCTGCAAAAATCGAAATACCATAATTTTTGGTACTACACTCAAAATCGCTGATGCATATTACGCGGGAGGGTTTTGATTTTTTACATTTAAAATCTCAGCGGACTTTTAGCCATTTTAAAATGTTACTTTTATTTTAAAAATATCCTGGTTGACAAGATAGCTAAGTAGCTGCCGGTCATCTCGATTGTAATAGATGCGACAGTAACTTCGCTTGCCATCACGCCCAGCACGTCCCGATTCCTGATAATAAGCCGCCAAATTCTGCGAACATGTCCAATGAACAACTAGTCTAGAAAAAAATCATCTTATACAAAATTAATAGAGTGATTTGAGACACTTTATCGTGATTTAGCAGATATAACTTTCTGCAGAAGGTCGTGAAGCTCAAGAAAAAATCAAAGACTTCAAATGATTCAAGTCATGCCAAAGTGCTTCTGTCAAAAGAAGTGTTCCCTTTGTCAAAAGAAATGCACGTCATGATCCCAGCGGAGTGACCAACTGTAGCGGAAAATTCGCGAAAAGCCGGCCAAGAAGTCGCCACGAAGAAAAAGAGGGGAAAAGAAAGGTATATCATGCTTTGAAAGAGAGATACACAGTAGATGTGCTGCCAAGCTGAATCCGGAGCACAAAAACTGGTGGTGTAGCGGTAACACATTGCGTCCGGGCGTGAAGAGCAGTGGTTCGATTCCCTTCCGGGCCGGAGGGATTTTTGGAAAAAGGGCTTCGCTTACGAAATCAACTGGCATTGGTCATAGCAACTAGAAAAGTGGCCAGCTGCGAAAGTCGCGCATCAGCCTATGAAATGTTGCTAATCTAAATATAAGTATTAACAATACTGCTAAATTTAATGCACAAGTAACAGATAAAGTGTAAAATATCAGGTTTTTTTTTTCTTCCATAACAAAGAATGCCTGATTACTAAAAATCTGATCAAAAACGCTTGCTTAACCAGGTATTGAAAAGAGCATGCAAATGTCTATTTGATCTAAAACTAGCTGTAGTATTAGCAGTCAAATTGTTTTTCATGAGACAGGAGAGAAAATCAACAACCTAACATCAGCTTTATCAATCCCCATTCCGAAAGAGATTGTTGCAGCTATGACGGGCACAACATTCGTCATCCACTTTTCCTGAATATCATCTCGCACCTGAAACAATCTTAGACTCTTTCATATTGTTCAGCATGAAATTCAAAAATGCCTCCCCGATACCGACTGCTTTGTTTGTCTAAAAAAGTTGACTTATTATAAAAACACAAAAAACAGATATCGAATCATAATCCTGCGCCTTACAGACTTTAAGTCTTTAACAATACCCTAAAAATTTTAGATCCAAATCAAAACTAAGAAAACTCTCGCTCTGTTCAAAAAATAAACCAGTAGTCGCAAATGCCCAGTTGACGTTTCCACAAAAAAATTCCTGTAACATCTTCCGTAGGCAGGATTTTTTAAAAAGTCTATGCCAATATCTAATGAGAAGGAAGAAACACCTCCAGTGTTTTTTGAGGGAGATGGAAGGGAGGCAAGGGAAAGGATGAGGGACGAGTAATTATTTTGAGTGGGGGTTATTGAAAAGAAAGCATTTTATTTATAAAATAGTGAAATGAGCAAAATTTTTCAGTTTTGATTAAATTTAATAAAAAATTCTGCCAGGAAATCACCATCGATTTTCTCAAAACAAAATTTTAAAGCAATTTTTTTTCTAAAAAAAAGTTCCTTGCCTCGTTTTGCTTCGCCATCTGCGCATGACAGCGAAAAAAAAAAAACTCCGAAAAAACAAGCGCTGTGGAGGAACAAACCTTATTGCCCAAACCGGCATGATATGCGAATGTCTGGATGCCTTCTTCAGTCAAACGTGTTGCCATTAATTCGCATTCCTCTCGTGTGCGACAGTAAACAATACCACTACCCGTAAACTTAAAAAAAATCCCATTTTAACAAATAAGGAAAATGTAAGGGCCATTAGATGGCCGAATGTAAAATGGATGGTTCAAGTGAGGCGGCCGAACTGCGTGAAAATATAAAAATTTCTGATGAAAATTTTTCCGCCGTTGATAGGCCCAAACAAACGTTCTAAAGCAACGACCAGTCCGAACCGTAGAAAATACGGAATGGCCGAAATCCAAAAATTTTAATTTGGGAGTGGAATTAGTTAATGGAATATCCTGAGAAAGATTGTGGAGTTGTTAATGTGGTTCAAACCGTATGACATGTAGAAGAGTCATGTAAAGAGGATTGTTTAGAAGTTTGTCTGCCTGTGTTTCATCCCTAAGCTGTAAATACAGACAGTATAAGGTGTGGTTAGAGGTGAGAAAGTCAATGGCCATCTTAATATACGAGGTATACTTCCTCAACTACAAAGCACCGTACAGATCTTTGCCCCTCCGCATAATTCGAAAACCTTTCATTCGACGTAATGCTTTTCTTCAAATCTCGAAATATGGGTACTTCTTAAAAAAAAAAGATATTTTGTATAAAATGTAAAAAAAAAAATTGAAAAGAATCCCTCACTTTAAAAAGCGCTCTTACAGCCTATATTAAAAAAAAGACTTCGCTTGGCAAAATATCAGAGAACAGTTCTTATTCCAAAAAATACTTGAAAAAAAGCCCTACTTAACAAAACATGTGGAAAAAAGCTCTTTTCTAGCGAAGCGCTTAGGAAGAGTTTTCGTCTGGCTGGAAGTGTGGGGGCTCTTGTTCGTATGAACACTTCAAAAAAGTGAATAAATAAATAAAAAAAAATAGCCTATGCTTAAAAAAAAGAATTCTCACATAAAATGGCTCTATACCTCAACTAATTTACAAGGAAAAGCAATCTTTCTGGGTCCCTGCTACCCTTTGTTCTACAAAAAACCGACAAATTTTAAAACAGCTAAACAAAACATACATACACTACTGATTATTTTTCTTCCAAGACAAGCCTCAAAAAAGAGTGAGTTGTAAAAAAAAATGAAATCGAAATACGAACTTTTTTTTAAGTTCGAAAAAAAGGAGGGAACTTACATTTCGTTTGTTGGGCGTATCATCAGATTTTTTTGAACTTCCTTGCTCCAGTTTCATGTCATTCAGTAATTTTGTAGCTGGTTTCAGTTGTGGTACCGGTGATTTTGAAGAGGCTGGTGATTTCTGTGTATGCCCCAAAGCTTTCATAATGAAAAGAGCTAAGTGGCGCTGCAAAATGGATAATTTGAATTGGCAAAATCAACCAGTGATAATCGTGCCTTGACATGTGCTTCTGTTAGGAGAACCAATGAACTGGTAATCTTTAAGGAGGCAAATGATCAAAAGAACCAGGCAGTGCAGTACTGGTCAAACCCCGTCCAAGTAGGTAATAATAAGCTTGAACTCAACCCCCGGGTAAGTGTGGTACCCGAGTACTGG